CCTCTCCCAGCACCCTTGTAAGCCCTTCAGGTCACCCCGCTCTACTGACACCTCGCTTAAATACAAGAGCTCCACCAGCTCCAGGCCAAGAGACCGCACCAGGGCTAGACCTGGCTCCTTCAACACCCATGGTGAAGCGGAGACGAGCTCAACTCACCTACATTTCTATAGGTGCGATGCTGCCGGTGGAAGGGATCTAAGAAAGGGATCGTAACTTGTTTACCTGTACCTCTGCATCTTCCCCAGGCCAAAGGTGGCTGAAATCATGCTGCATAAAGCAGCCCAACCTGCCATCCCCTTGTTTCTTTATTTGTATGGATTGAAGAGGCCCGACACTACACTGTCACTTCGTTCATGTGCTCTCACACATCTGTTTGCTGTGTGAAAATCAAGTTCTGCAGCAGCAGCCCTCTACTGCCAGAAGTGCCATTTGGTCACTCCCTTGCCTACTTGAGGAGAAAGAGTAATGGCTTGACATAAACACAGGGGTCAACTTTAAGCAAGTCGTGTACTATTAAAAAAAAAAAACCACACCCAACCCCCAACCAAAAAAAACACCACACCCAACCCCCAACCAAAACAAACACCACAAAAAACCACCACACCAAAAGAATACAGTACTTTAATCATCCACAACTTTTACTGGTTTACAATCTGACAGCATATAGTGCTGATACGCTAAAACACTCAATTCACCTTTCCTCAATGGAAATTTAAATTGAACACTTGCTCGTTTGTAGCTTACAAACAGTATTACTCAAGCTGTAGAAAGAATGAGGCTATTTCTTCAAATACAACAGTAAATAGATAATGGCTTTGGAATATAAGCTATGTTTCCACGCTTAGCTTGGAACCAACAGAATCAACTGTTGGTTGATTCATTGGTATGTGGTCATTTGACTTCTGCATTAAGCCTGAAAAATAATCAAGAAGAAAAACGTATCACCTCTTTGGGGAAAAAAAACCTTGTGTTTATGGTAGCTGGTTATCAAACTTAACACCACTTTTGCACTCAAAAATGAGTGTCACACACGAGATCTCACTACAGTGGATAGCATTACATCAGGGTGTTCACTTTGCTGGGGACTGTTTTATGATTCCTGGCTACAGACTGATTTCCTTCACTTATTCCAAAAAGGATACACACTGTAGGCACAAAAGTGATTGTTGCAACTGCTCCATGCACCATGCCAAATGTCTTGAAACAACTTGGAGGGCCAAACCCTTCTGGTTGAAAAGAAGAAATTTTCTATGCCCAGCCTGTCAGATATCTGTCCCGAAAGTGCCAAATATCGAAGACTCAGCTGGTGCCTACAGAGCTAAACCAATTATTAAGGTTCGCTACTACCATCTCTGACCGGATACCCGAGAGTTGCATCTTAAAAGCCCCTGGCTTTGACTGGGATATAAACCTTTAAGCAGCTGAACTTTATTAAATCAAGGAAGGGAGGGATTTGGGCTATCATTTCCATAATCCAGCCTTTTGTTTTTCTTCTCCATCTTCAAGTAGGAGTCAGCTGCCTAATCCTGTTAATGATAAATCATCATAGAATCTGTACGTGAACAGATGTCCGAGAACACGCAGCCCTTCAACAAACGAAGGAAGATATTACAGCCTGGTTTTTTGACACAAAATTGTCATGGTGCCTAGCAACCATAAAAAGTGAAGTACAGCTTTAGGCAACTCAGCACATGACACGCTTTGGCCATGTCTAGACAGCACTGTCGCAAAAAGACACTTAAGCTGTGACTTTATGCGCACTATGTAAGAACTTGAGGTTCAAAATCTAAAAGCTCTTGAAAATTTATAAAAGCTCAAACCAAAAGAAGCCCTTTTTGTTGCCACTCGTATTACTCTTAGTTGTCTGAAAGTTATAGTATTTAGTCTTTGGTTTTCACAGAATTAATTCCCGCTTGCTTTTCAGAGCACACATTTATTTGGAGTTATAATAAAAGGCTGATTTTGAAACAGGAAAACAAGTGTTCTTCCACAAGTATAAACCAGTTATATACATCCTCACTGAAGGCACTATGGTTTAAAATTCTCTGTACAGTTGCAGTAAAATTCAAAGTCACCTCCAGAATAAAGTCTGTCTTTAAAGATCCCAGACAAGTTTTGCAGCAGATTACAACATGGGCACAGTGTCAACGAGTTGCTCTCCTAAATTTCTGTGCTATATACAGCCAGATGCAAAAAAAAATCTGTGTCCAGTACGTTTTCTCTGCCTAAAATGCTCACCGTATTATGATCCTTTGATGCAAACAGCTGTCAGTTGAATTCTCTGTTGCTATAGAGCCCAGCAGTCCGTTAGAACGTTTCTGAGTCTCGTGACAACACTGAGCCAACTCGTACAGCAGAGTCCAAACAGACCTACACCAAAAAGCCTCTAGATTTTCGTATTATTTCAAAGGAGTTTACTGTGATTATGTACAGAAGCTGAAGTGATTCTTGTTGCCTTATTATTTTGCTTACAGAACTTTAAGTACTTTAATAATCACTACGCCATACAGATTCGACACTGCCTATTTGTTAATTTCTGCTTGTCTTATGTAGTGTTTCGGCATCAATACATAAGTAGAATAGAAAAAACCTTTCTTAAAAGTGTTACTTCATTGCTTTATTAAACAATGATAGATTTATATGAAGAACTAATAGCTTAATGCAACAGCTCGGAAAAAAAAGGATTTTTTCTACTTGCCAGCAACTCAGAACAGTGGTTTTACAGTTAAAGCTGCTTCTCCTGTACAGAATTATGCAGAATTTAACAAATGCATGTCCACTACTTCTACAGAAATTGATACTTATGAATGTAGATAAGGATTTTTAAACAAAGAATATAAACTAAATAACGCTGATGTACACATGAAATCAGTCTAAAAACATATCCAGTTTAGATACAGAGCAAGATACATTATGGGACGTCTTGAAAAAGACTTTAAGGATTTAGGTCTAATAGAAGTAGGAGCCTTGCAAAATGAGGTTTTCAGGTTTTTTTGTTTTAGCAAGGCTTCCACTTTTTTAATTAGTCCCTCAAATCTCTTGGGAGAAGTCCTTAGCCAATTCATTTGTCTGGTTTAAAGGGAGGTCTTTAAACTTAATCACAGTATCAAGAACGAATCGAAAATAAAAAAGAATTACAAATAAGACAGCTGTGAAAGATTTCTCTTCAGTGCACATGAACAAGGCTGAACAGCTCTAAACGAGTCCAACTGTTGTGTGAAGAATCCCTTATCACTAATGCATTGTTTTCAAGAATATACACACCCCTCCATGTAAATAAGCACCCCCTGATTTTCTGTCATTTCAATTGGGTCGCTATTTGCCCAACAAACTTGAACGTCCCATTCTCTGACTACAGACAATTACACCACTGATTGGCAATTATAGTTTTAGTAGAAAGCACAGCCGAAGTCTTGAAATACAAAAAAAAAAAAAGTCCTTAAAAAATTTAAAACTATGGTACAGAGACTGGTGTAGTTACTGTGTCTCAGTGTGAAAACCTGACACATACCAGCAGATTATTAATATAGCTTTGCTTTAAAAGGAATGGGGTTTCCAGTCTTTTCCCTTCTAACCCAGGTAAATGCAGTCCAAGACTGCCAAAGCCCACGGTGATGAGCGTGCCTTGACGACCCTCGGAATCTCCACGACGTTCTGACAGGATCTACTAGTTGTCTCCTTCAACCCTTCTCTTGCGAACTGGAATGAGAGCAAGAAAAAAAAAATGCATTGCTATTTTATCATCGTAACTACTTTTTGAATTTCTACATCAACAGTTTATGCAGCCGCTTTGTCGCATGAACTGGCACAACTTAAGGCAATTAATGCTTCGTATCTTCCATGATTTTTAAGCTTCTGCTTTAGCAGCATTTATGTTATTGAAGAAGAGCTGCAAATATTGGTGAGGAGAGACTTGCAGGAACATTAATCATTTTATGTGTGGTAAGCAGATTTAGGCAGTACTCTCTTTTTTCACACTGCAGTTTTCTAGTGGTGGAGAATCAAGGGCACATGGCTTCAAAAGGAACAGTACAGGAGTTTCACAGTGTACCTACATCCATATATACACTCGGGAAAAATGTGTGATGTTCAATAGGCTAAACCATTTCATTTATTAAACTGAAAATACTCATTTATCAGAAAATTCAAGAGCAACAAAACTTTGTGAATTAAATCACTAAAGCTCACATGCTGATTAGACGTAAGACTATGTAAGATTGACTGAATGACTGGAGTTTTGCTCAAAATTTGTAGTATTTTTAATTGACATGTTCTTCTTCCCCTATCAAACTGTGTTTCCCTTTGCTGTGCAGACACAGTATAATGTCTAAGACCTCTAGCCTCATTTAAAGGGCATCTCCACTTTTTGAAAGAGTGGAGCAAGGACATCTATAAAGGAAGAAAGTGATTCTGTTCTCTCACTTATAGGAAATTATGTAGTTTTATGGATATTTGCAATTTGAGCTGATAATCTTTACCTTCAGATCAGAATAGCAGAGGGAAAGCCGTTTTGTTTCCCCTCCTTCTTCCTGTCTCAAGAAATGCTTTAGATACAGCCTGACGCAACCATCAGAACAGAATCACACTATAATTTCACTCTTTACAAAGCCAATCTATCGCCCGCTTTGAGCGTAATGCACAGCCTTAACCCCCTTGGAATCCAAATCGTTCTCGCCAGCAACAGAAGTTACGCATCCTGGCGTTCAGCAAATCGCAGGAACAGATGGAAGAGTGGCTTCTCCAATCATGCAGTTAAAAGCAACACGCACACAGTTGCAGACAAAGAAAGGGGAAGTAGTAGAGCACAGGGTAAACGAGGGAGAAAGAAGACGTAGAAGACTGGTTTTTTAGAAGAGACATACAAAGAGAGAAGTGAGAGACTGAACACCTCAGTATTGGGTGCTCCGTACCCAAATGGGTATTCAGAGTAACCTGTCTCTGTAGCTTCAGGGCTGGAGAGGTGAAAAGGTATTTGCAGGAGCTTTTACTCGCATACTCCAGACTAAGAAAGCAAAGAAAAAAAGGTGAGATTATCAATAGAAACACAGAATTCCGAAAGTCAAACACTGAAATGAGAACTTGTGAAAAGAGAAACCTTAAAAGAAAGTCGAGACACACCTGAAGCGTTATGACGAAAAAATAACGGGTTTAGAGTCTATTTGGAGAAACAGTTACGCAGTGTCCGAATGCCCTTCTTCTCTCTCTGCTTTATTCTGTTAATCCTCCTCCACCTGTCAGAGCTGTTCTCCACTTTAACCTTTACTCCGAGGGGAAGCAGATCTTTAAACCAAATTCCGGTGCCATTCCCTCTAATGTATCCCTGAACTACTGCTGAACTGCCTGGACCGTTTCCAGGCTGATAGGACATGTAATCCTTATCCCAAAGCATCTAAAGCCAAAACGTTTAAATGGAGTTTTAAAATGTAATTCTATTTAATGAGATGAACCACACTATCTGCTTGTACCTGACAGCTTAAAGTATTTGACATGATCATACAAATGATATCCAATCTCATGGTATATTATTAACCAATTTTGTGCTGGTCCCTTTGGGGAGGATTCTAACAGAAGAGCTCCAAGAACACTTAGTGCAGCAAGTAGAGATGCTGCTGCGGCCACGTCCCTTTAAGAGGGGCAGGGAAGGTACCTGTGCGTGAACAGAACCATAAGGGAAGAGACGTCCTGGCCTCTGCACGTGACAGTACGTGCAGTTTCCTTACTCAAGCAATCCAGGTGAGACTGGGTGTACTGACACTGAAGAGGGCATCCTGCACTATCACGTCAAGTACTGCGTTTAAAGAAACTATGACTCTTACCTGACTAAAACTGAACGATCAAAACTATTATTTTTGCTCCCTGGGCCACAACTCACGTGGAATTTGAACGCTCTTGTTCTGACTACACTAAAACCCCTCATCTCATACACCTGAATGCTCCACAAGAACATAAAAGGAGAACATCAAGCAGGAATAGAAGAGGAGTAAAGCACAGGAGAAATCTGAAACTGATCTCCTCGTATCCTTATGTCAACAGTGTCAAAAACCCAGACATCTTTAAAACCTGTGCCACACACATTCATTTAACAGGTGCTGGCAGGTCTTACCCAAATCATTGTTTTTCGTGATCGCTGCAGCTGCCCTGGCTCGAGGTCCCTGTTGTGTGAAATGGTATCCAAATTTGATGATCTTGGTGTTTTCTTCAAGCATCTTGGCAATTTCTACTTCTGCAACTGTGCCCAGCTGCTGCCTCTGTTGAAATAAAAGGCACACAAAGACAACAGAGCTTACACGTATCGCCCTGAAAGAGATCAGAATGCTTCCAGCGTGTTAGTCGGTAAACACCTAGCTCCATTTTGATTAGTCTTAAAGGCAGAAGGGCATAAAACATGTTTGTGCACTCTAAAGCACAAGCAAGCACAGAAGTGACCAGGAATCAACTTCAACTGGATGCTTCTGAGATTCTTAAGGACAATCATTCACGGGATTGAAATATTTAAAAGTAAAATATTTTGGAAAGTTTATCACAAGCTGCCTTCTAAAAAATATTCAGTCGACTAGGACAGATGGATTTTTAATTATGGTATTACCACCACCCCACTTACCTGATTATCAATTTTGATCTCTGTCAGTGTTTCATTGTCCTTCAGCGCATCGACCAGTGCCAAAATTCCAACTCCAGTGATGAAGTTTGATTCTACATTTAAACTTTTCAATTTTGTGTTTACTCTCAGCATACCTGCAAGAGCCTTTGAACACAAGAAAGCAACATTCAGCTTTTGAATTTAGCTGATTTCCGCTAACTAGTTCAAGAGGAGCAACACGTTCACTGACCCATGGTGTAGCTATGCTTTCACTTATTGTTTCAGACTGAAGCGTGTCTTCAACCAGGCATTACCTACATTCCCTTTTTTAATAGTATTTAGTCAAGAAAAGCCTTTCTTTCCCTGGTTACAAACGAAAAAGCTACACAGCATAGAAATAGCCTGAAATTAGCATATTGGATCGATTCCACTCTGTAAGCCTTCAGAGCATACACTGAGTAATGCAGGATGCCAAGCAAAGGCCAAAGAAAGGGCGTTAGTCAACTGAAAGGAGAATTAGATCTGGTTAATTTGTAAACAGGAGATCTGACTTTCAAAATGCTTGTGTCCACAGATTTGAAAGAGAGGTAAAATTCAAAGCGCTAAGCACAGTACCAGCTTGTAGCTAAAAGCACTCATGGAAGTGGCATCGACCTGATTTTATTTTTGAGAAAATAAGGAAACAAGAATAGGCAACTGCTGACATTTGCCATCACAATAATCATAACCTTTAAGTATTTTTTATATCAAGTTGCAATGCAAAAAACCCCAACAAAACTACATGAGACTTTAAACAAAAAGCCTTTTTAGATTTTTATTACATATGGATTACAACAGGATTCAGTTCAACCCCTCACCATTGTCTTTCCACCCCTCAGCTTCCCTGGCACATTAGCCAGGGTACTTACCACAGCAACAGGATCATTGCTTCGGGTGGCTGCAAGGCTGAACTTCTTCACATGCGTGTTGGTTTCTAAGGCTTTTGCAAATTCTTTCAGCGTTGGAATTGGAATGTTCTTGAATTAAAAATAGCTTTTCAGTCTCTTGGGATACACAAGTTTATCCCCTCCCCCCAACTTCTTCCATTATCTTATTCTCCTTCAACTCCTTCCATTATCTTAATTCTCCTTACAGCAAAACTTATAGTATTAACTACTACTGGTCTCCAGCTCTCTCAAAGGGAAGGCCCAAAGCTGTGTGTAAAATGCAATGGCTATTAGAGTCACCGCTTCTATAAAGCACAGTCATCTTTACTACAGTGATGCCATTGCCACGCTAGAAGTGTTAAAAAATATGTAGCTGACTTGGAACTGTTACTAAGCAAACTTTACATGAACTGAACATTCTGCTAACTATCAGCACCAAATTAGCCTCTCACAAATATAAAAAGATTTAGAGCTGTAAGCTGGTGAAACCATTAACATTTCATCCTCTGTGTTGTATTAAAAAGAATTCCAGAATTTGCCAATTTATGATTTGGTAATTTTTACACTGTAGTAGCAGCCAAGCTTAAATGGAGTAATTTAGGTAATTAATTAGGGTAGAAAATGCCTCAGTTTGTTATATCAGCAGTTTTGTTCTGTTGCCTTTTTAGGCATTTATTTTGGCTAGCATTTCTCTATTGTACAATATTCTTAGACCATGTATTTTGTTTTCTTCCTTTACTAAGGGCACCAATAGCACAGGCACCTCACTAGCTGTCTGCACGGGAAGTCAGGAGTGCTACAGTTCCGTTTCCTTTCACGCAAATATACAACAGTTTTAGTCATTTTTAAAACCACAACTGGTACATTTACAAAGCAGAAGCTGCCCTAATTGCCGACAACTCTTGGTACAAGAACCAGAAGGACGTTAGGTACAGATAGAGCAGTAACTGAGAGCACGTCGCTTCGTCAAGGACGAAGGATTCAAAGGAGTAGTTAACTCCACAGTGGTGGATATGCCGGAGCTGTCGCCAACTTGGCGGCAGCAGAAATAGAGGATGGCAGCAGGAAAATCTAAGATTTTTTAAATACACATTTGGCAAAAGAAACCAAGATGCCTTATCCGTTTAGCTTCAGGTTCCTGAGATTACACACACTGCAACACTTAGCAGAAAGGCTGCTGCACTTAAGGCTATCGTGCTCTCTCGTAGTATTTACAGCTTACAGTGTCTTCTGCTGACAAAAAGCAGCACATTTACTGCAGACTTCATTAAATTACCTTAATGTTATTTAGATTAACTTCAACAAGACGGGAATCATTATCTTTAATCCTTTGCAGTGTCTCCTCCACATTTGTGGGATTTGGTGGTTCATCAAAAACAGGCAACATCTTTTCACCTTTCACTATATCTGAAAAGGCATTTAATTGTGATCAAACATACATGATGATGCACATACCAAATATTTACTGTATTTAGAGCTCATTTCATCAGTCTTTACATCACTCCCCCACCCAAAAAGCATGCCATCCTCTCCTGACCATATTTCCATAAAGCTCAAGTCTTTTCCAAAGCCCTCCTGCTTTTCTTGAACACCAGCTTTTTTCAGAAAGCACACAGGAATTGAATTACAAACACGAAACCTAAAACCCAATGCACACAAATGCATGTTTATGCCTATTTTTATCCCCCGCTCCGAGTGAATTAACTGCAGAATAGACCTTAGCAGACATAGACACATTAATGCCAGAACCCAATTAGCGATGTTATAGGCGTGGTGCTCATTTCCAATTCAAGACTGAAGAGTCTATAAAGAATGGTACCGCAACAAGAAATAGTTAATGCTACAAGAAATATTTAATGCTATAGTAACTGTGTGCAGTACAAAGAACTCCTTTATCTAGCACACTTACTGGAGAAGCTGTCTTTGTCAATCCCGTTACTGCTTCCTACTACATCACAGAACTGATTGTTCGTTATCAAGTTGGACATTCCCAGTATAGCTGTGAAAGGAGAAAAAGCAAAAAACAACATTAGCATTTCTGAATAAATCAGCTACGGTGCAGAGTTCCCTGGAATAATAACAACTGATGTTTGTAAAACACCCAGTTAGCAGTACAATAAGCAATTCTATTGCTTAATAATTTAAAGAAAAATAGAAAAAAAAATTAATTATAGGCTTTTTTTAGTTGGCTTTCACATCTTAGAAAGACTTGATCTCATGAGGTTCAAGCGTTTAAGTCACAAAATTCCTAACTGAAGCCTGAAGAACACAGACACAAAGCAACACCGTCTTGTACGCAAGAAAAAGCAGTAGCGTACACACCAAAAACCAGCCAGTCTGAGGAATGAACTTAAAGGTTTTGAGTTTGAAAGTAAGAAAACTTACGCAGGCCAAAGTCATCTACCTTCCTGTAAATTATCACAAATCAACAAAGATGATGCGCTACAACCAAACTGGCATGTAACACGTTCTAGTTTCTACCCCAACTGCAACCTCATACAGTCACATTTCAGACAACAAATACGTTACTACATTGATTATAGATCTTTCTCGTCTAAATATGCGCCAGCCCATTCATACTTGCCAAAAACTAACCTGCAAGGTCACCTAATTCTGTGTCTGTGGCACTGGTCAAGGCTTCCTCCAGTTCCGGGTCCAGAGAGAATTTTTCTTCTGTATAAGACTGTATGGGCTTTTGCTTGGGGATAAATATTTTCCCTGGAGTAAAGAAAACAGAGAGTCTGATGTTACTTTGTATTATACAGCTACTTCCCTTTAAACTTTTCTGTGCTTGAGGAACACATACTGCAGTTAGTAAATCCTGAGAAAAGCACCAAGGACAAAAAAGGAATGAGGTTTCCCCTGTTTCTTCTTGAAAGTGAGATGTGGAAAGAACATACGAGGAAGGTAACATTACTTACTCCAAATTTTCAGGAGTCTGTATCATGACTCCAATTTTATTTGTTTCTCCTAAGTATTAGAAAGTGAAATACAAGCCTCCATTATACATTTTAAACAGCCTAGAAAAAGTGCCTGCAAGGAAAATTTAGTATTGCTAGAGAACGGTGACTGATATCCTCTCAAGGGAGAAAGGCATCCAGGCAGGACTGCAATCGGAACATCTCGGAGAAACAGAGCATCAAAGAATCATCTAAAATCACAGACCTGAGTGCTCCCTGCATACACAATACTTATTTCAGATGTTTACCCAATTTTGAAGTAAAAAAGGGGGATGCCTGAGAAAACCGTGGTCTGTGAAAAGCACAAAACAAGGTAACAGACTTCCCTGACAATGACCCTGTTTTTACAGTGATACATGGAAAAGTCACGGAAGATTCAGTGGGAAAAGGAGAGGTAGCAACATCACATTCTGCACCCAAGCCTCAGTCATTACGAACAGGTACTGGGACAAGGCATTTTAGGAGACATGCATTATAAACAGAGCTCTGTGGGTTTAGCATAATTCCTGCATTATCTTCAGCTGAAAAGTTAGATTATGAGAAAGCTGCTCAAACAGTTATTCTGAAATCAGTTCAGATTTTAATGATTTAGCACTGGCCTTTCAGAACAAAGAAGTCTACCTCGGATGAGAACACAGGAGAGGTAAGGGGTGCTTAGGTTCAGGACAAATTAACGTGGTAAATAAACCCTCCGGTGCTGTATGAGAGAACAAAACCGATGTATTTGGTACAAGTAACTCACAACTAGAAAACTGAAAATCTAAAAGTTATTCCGAGTTTTTCAGACTTTCCCATTTGCCTGAGCTACCAGTAGACAGAGCTGTGGGAAAGGGGTTCCAACTTCCCGTAGTTATCTCCTGGGGTGGGAAGGAAGCGGTGTCGAGCATCTCCCTGTGAAGACGCAGTGCTAGATCAGGAACCCACCAATTCCCATCTTCATAGCCAAAAACCACATACACAAATCACGGTTGCTCATCCCAAGGACACGATGACAACCCACCCCACACCAGAATCACATCAGCTGGGCAGAAGCCTAAGATTTTTGTGCCTCACACTGCAGAAAAGTGTTTCTTCTTACTAAGGCCAAGTTTAGCATTTTTAAATACCTCCCAGTGACAAGAAGCTTTATAGGGATGTTTGTTTTATTTCTGGGAAATTCCGCCGAAGCTGGATTTTGGTTTCACCACCTGTGAGAAGCAATGCCTGAAGTCAGTGCCCATGTCCCGCCGCAGACATGGGCAGGACAAAATCCACCCACCTTTTCTCTCTCTCCCCATTCCCATCCTAGATCACAAAAGCTTGCGGTTCGTTTTCTTTCTGAAGGAACTCTATGCTTTACCACTCGCACAGATTACAAAGGCGTGTATCAGGTTTTCCTCTGACAACACGGTCTGATGACTAAGACCTGTTGCTAGCAACACAGTACTTTTGTTCCCGGGTTGCTATCTCTTCGGAAAGTTGTATAAATGGCCATTATCCATATTTAGAAGCAGAAAATAAATCTCCTTACATAACTGTACTGACTGCAACCGGTAGCTGAAAGCAGCTGACATGCATTACCACCCATACCTCCTGCTTGATGGACAGAGCAAAAGAAACTGTTGGTGGTGATTCAGGTTTAAAAGAAAACCTTCAGAAATTGAAGGCCTAGGTAGGAAATGTTTGTTTTGATACTACTGATACATTTCTACCCCTATTTTACTTTACCAGCATCGCCTACTGGGGAGAGAATAACTTTCAACTTAAATGGCAGTTTTCAGAAGACAGATGAGAATGTTTGACAGGGTTTTCATTAACCCACAAAACACTGAACAGCAGGCCCAGGATCTGAAGCCTTTCATTAGCTAGGTTTGTCTTGTTTTCCCTCAGTAACACAGACTGGTAAAAAAATTAAGTATTTCACAGTACAAGGAAGTAGAAGAGAAAGAAAGCGTGATTAGAGCCCTTCGTTCACGTCATCCTATTTGCAGCAGGCAGCGAGTGGGAGAAGGAAACCGACCTCAATTAACGGCAACTTTGTTAAAATGCAGTTCTACCTAGATCAGCCTCTTGTCTGGTTCCCCCCACAGTACCCACAAAAGAGAACTACTTTTCCTGGCGTCACTCTAAATAATTCTTAAATGCATAGGTTAGGAACTTCTGCTTCTAAACTTCGCTTTCTAAGACTAAATTTATCCATACATGCCTGACTCTTAAGATAACCTAAAAAAAAAGAAAAAGCATATTCAGTTTTTATTAAAGCAAAAACATTAAGAGTCACTCTCCTCCAGAAATCGCAGCCAACCCCAGTCACATGAACTGGGCCAGGAGCAGGTTTTGTTATAAAACGGGTCACACCCTTGTGTATATAATTGCTCATTCACTGGCTTCATCTCACCCTAGCTCAGAGGTTTACAAGGCCACACATGAACGCAGGTCCTTCCCCACACCCCACTTCTAGTAACAAACTCAGTTCAAAAAGGGTAAGACCTCTGTGTCTCTGGGGACAATGATCTAACTCAAGGCCTGCTGCCAAGATGGTTTGGCAATTCCCTTCCCTCCTTACTCATGTAAGCTTTAAAAAAAATAAAGGAAAAGGCTACACATCTGTGCAGCCCACGGGATGAACAGCTTTCTCGGCCCTCAAATGGAACGTTTCCAAGAAGCAGGGATTTGATCGCATACAGGAACATGACATCCTCCCTCCCAGCCAACAGGGATACCGCAAAGATTAAGCAACACAACAGGAAGAGGCAGATTTCAGAGATGTTTGCATCGTTTCTGTAATAATTATACATTCAGGCCCTCAATGCCTTCAGCTAACATGCCAAATGGTGCACACCCCAGGATTAACTCCCAGGCTTCCTTTGCTCCGGAACCAAGTTGCAGTTCCCAGTCCCACACCACCGCATTGCTCAGAAGGATGACGCTGGCTGTTGAAGCCCCCGAGACATTTCACACACAGACTCACAGCACCCAAGGTGGGACCGAAAGCCTTGCAGAAATCAGGTCTGTCCGGCATGGCCACACACTGCGTATTGCCGGTACTATTCCCACCTGTTGTCCATGCTAGCAGGCAGCGAGTGACCACGGCTTCCCGATCAGAACAAAGGCTAAAATTCACTTTGCAGTGCTCTGCAGAAAAGGAATCGAGCCTCACCTGAGGACAACGGACTACAAGCCCATCGCATCAGGGACTTCCTGGAGAAGAGTGAGCAACATCCGATATATTCCTTACATAGAATCATAGACTGGTTTGGGTTGGAAGGGACCTTAAAGATCATCTAGTTCCAACCCCCCTGCCATAGGTAGGGACACCTTCCCCTAGACCAGGTTGCTCCAAGCCTCATCCAGCCTGGCCTTGAAGACATCCAGGGATGGGGCATCCACAGCTTCTCTGGGCAACCTGTCCCAGTGCCTCACCACCCTCTCTGGGAAGAATTTCTTCCTGACATCTAATCTAAACCTCCCTGATTTCAATTTATACATCTTACGCTCCACAACGCTTCATCAGTCCAAAAATGGCTATAATCCACAATTTGACCACCACCAATTCTTACCACGTGACAGACTTTGGTTCATCAATTCACTTGTAAGCACAATTTAATACCTTTTATTTTTTAATTCAAGTGACTTTCTCAGTGTCTTCCTGTAGAAACAGCACTGTTACTCGTCGTCTGATTACAGAGCACACAGCAGCGGGTTGGAACACTGTTCTACATTAAGGCTCAAGCATCTCATCTTACTTTGTCCTAGTGGTCTTGTATGGAGAATGTCAATTCGACAAGTTGTTTCTCCAAAGCTTCTACAGGACATGAGCTTCATTTTACAACATGCAGCGCTCTAAAGGCAAAAAGAGAACACTGCATCCCAAATCCTTCTGCAACAGGAGCCAGTGGTGATCTACCGCAACACCTGAGCAGGGCAGCACTCCAGCCAGGTGACTAGTTTCAGCCTAACAATATTTTCCAGGTGATAGAGCAGCAGGGGAAAAAAAGGCAACACTGAAGCAGAATTTACATGAAATGCAAATCTACGCAGAACAAACATACCCTGGCAGGAAT